AGCTGCTGGAGATTTCAATAACGACAACTATATAGATCTCGCCATCGCTAATTATGGCACGAACAATGTTGGCATACTTTATGGAAATAGCAACCGAACTTTCGAAAAAACAAATCACGTTTTCAACTGGCGTTGGTTCTCATCCATACTCAATTGCGGTCGACCATTTCAATGATGATGGATTTCTCGACATAGCTATCGCTAACTCTGGTACTCATCAAATAGGTGTACTTCTCAATAACGGCAATAAAAGTTTCGCTAGACAAGTCATCTATTCCATTGGTGCTGCTTCTCCATATGCCATTGGAGTCGGAGACTTCAACCAAGATAATCGATTAGACATCGTCGTCACTAATAACGGTCTTGAAAATATAGGTGTACTTCTTGGATATGGAAACGGCGATTTTGAAAATTCAATCATGTATTCCACTGGATCTTATTCTTCGATTTCATTCGCAATAGGTGATCTCGACGCGGACCACAGATTAGACATTGCCGTCGTAAACAATGATACTGACAGCATAGATATTCTCCTTGGTCAATTTGAAGGTTTTTTAAATCAAACAACGTATCCAACCGGCTCTTCTCCATCATCTGTAGCTGTTGGTGATTTCAACAGTGACACTCGACTAGATATCGTTGTCGCCAATTATAAGAGCAATGATACGAGTGTCCTTCTTGGATATGGGAATGGTTCTTTTGCAAAAGAAACAAGATATTCAGTTGGAAACTACCCCACGTCTGTAGGTGTTGGTGACTTCAATAACGACACTCGGTTAGATATTGTTGTCGTCAATCAAGATAGTAATGATGTGAGTGTCCTTCTTGGATATGGGAATGGTTCTTTTGCAAAAGAAACAAGATATTCAGTTGGTTCTTCTCCACGATCTGTAGCTGTTGGTGATTTCAATAACGACACTCTGTTAGACATCGTTGTGGCTAATCGCGATAGCAATGATGTGAGTGTCCTTCTTGGATTTGGGAATGGTTCTTTTGCAAAACAAGCAAGATATTCAGTTGGCTCTGCTCCAGGATCTGTAGCTGTTGGTGATTTCAACAACGACAGTCGACTAGATATCGTTGTTGTCAATGGGAATAGCTATGAAGTGAGTGTACTTCTTGGATATCAAAATGGTTCTTTTGCAAAAGAAACAAGATATTTAGCTGGCTCTGCTCCACATTCTGTAGCTGTTGGTGATTTCAACAATGACACTCGACTAGATATCGTTGTCGCTAACTATTTTAGCAATGTTGTGAGTGTCCTTCTTGGATTTGGGAATGGTTCTTTTGGAACTGTCACAAACTTTTCAGTTGGCTCTACTCCAATATTTGTAGCTATTGGCGATTTTAACAACGACACTCGAGTAGATATTGTTGTCATCAATCGTTATAGCACTGATGTGAGTGTCCTTCTTGGATATGAAAATGGTTCTTTTGCAAAAGAAAGAAGATATTCAGTGGGTCTTGAAGCATGGTATGGAGCTGTTGGTGATTTCAACAACGATAGTCGACTAGATATCGCAGTTGCCAATTCAGGTAGAAATGATGTGAGTATTCTCCTGCAATATAACCGAGGAGCGATAGCATATAAAATGTCCTATGCATCTGGTGGTGGGTCCGACTTACAATGCGTAGTGATTGGTGATTTGAATAATGACAGTAACCTGGATATCGTCTTGGCTAATTACGGTAGTAATAGTGTAGGTTTCCTTGTGGGATATGGAAATGGCAGTTTCAAAAATGAAATCTTGCTTAGCATTGACTCGAATTCTCATCCGAATTTAATTGCTATTGGCGATTTCAATGACGACAGTATATTAGACATTGCTGCTGTCAATTATGGTACAAAGAAAGTAGATATGTTGCTTGGGTACGGGCACGGAACGTTTGCAAGTCAAACAAGTGAAGGTATTAGTGTCGATTCACGCCCGTTAGCTATTACTTCTGGTGATTTTAATAATGACAAACGATCGGATATTGCTATCTCCTACCACGGAAGCGATAACGTAGATATCTTTGTTGCATGCAACCTTGGTTCTTTTGCAAAAGAAGCAAGAAATCCCGTTGGTAAATCGCCACTGTCTGTAGCTGTTGGTGGTTTCAACAGC